CACTCGCAGCGTCGAGTGCGGGAGCGTTTTATGAAGGAAAGTTGATATACAGTAACACAACAGTCGAACTGTAATTGAGAGGTAGGGCTTACGGTAGTATTTGTGAATGTGCGTTCATATTATTTTCAGTTTTTACTGACTCTGTCCCAAGTGCCTGTGGCAATAACAGTCCCCATCTGCATCCAGTTGTACTGAAGCAAGCCGATGACTATACGAAAAGAATGATATATTGATTTAATTTAATTTAATCCGTTTAGTGCATTATTTCTTCAATTAAAGCAGAGAGTATAGAGCCTTAGGCGTTTGAGTTTATATTTAGCTTTATACTCCGTCTATGTCTCTTCCGATTTTACCGAGGCCTCGTGCATAATGAAAAATTTCATAATATTCAGAAAAGAAATTAAATAAAATACTATGCCAGCGAAAATGTTACTATGCGAGCCAGAGGTCGTTGAGATCATTACGATCTCACATCCAATGTATAGCTACATGCCACCTCCAGAAAATAGGATGAAAATACTGAGTGAAAATGATCGAGTTACCAACGTTGAATTCCATATTCTCTAGCTCTGCAAGCAGGGCGGGTTAGGAATAAACGCACGTACTAGATTTAATCATAAATATTTACAAGGATGGGGGAATGTATAGTGTATTTAAGATCGCAATAGCCGTACGAGTATTTTACTTGTGAATTGTTCATGATTTTTGATTGTAATATGCAGCCTTAAAAGATTGCGTGCTGTAATTAATTTGCTAAATTTGGTTAATTAATATTCGAGTTTCTTCGTCATATGTATTTCGTTCAGATGACAAATTTCATCGAGACCGTAGAGAGACATCTCTCTTATGTAATGGATATGAGTTAAATTGAATTTGATGAGCAGTTGTGTAGCAATGCCCTTTACAGTGTTACCAGTCCGTAACCCGAAAAGTATCCTAAATTTTGTTAATTAATATTCGAATTTCTTCATCATTTATTTCGTTAAGATTAATGACAGATTCAGAGGTTCTGATGCGATGGCTGTGCGTGCGTGCGTGCATGCGTGAGTATACCTGCTTACGTGCGTGCGTGCGTGTATGTGTGTGTGTGTGTGTGTGTGTGTGTGTGTGTGTGTGTGTTCTGTGTGTGTGTATGTGTTGTGTATGTGGTGCGTATAAATTACATACTACATTGGTAATAATTATAAGTGTGAGTTGGTTATTTTCTGTAATGTATTGAGCAAACATACAACAACCTCGCATTCGCCCTCCGTACTCACACACACGCCGAAGCTCTCAGGGCGCACGTAAGCAGAGTATACTCACACAGCGGCACGTACGCAAGGTATCATGACTTCATAGCATCGCCACGACAGCGCACGTAAGCAGTATACTCACGGCATCGCAGCGCACGCACCCACACAACGTCATGGCACGCAAACGG